CACTCTCTCTCTCTCTCTCTCTCTCTCTCTCTCTCTCTCTCTCTCTCCCTCCCTCCCTCCCTCCCTCCCTCCCTCCCTTATATATAAATGGACATCTCTTCCATTTCCTTCAGAAAGTTTGGAAATTATCTTGAATTGTGCTAAATTGTCCTCTTCATCCTGAATTTAATCTAAAATAATATAGATATAGGCTTTTTAGATAAAAAATACAGCACAATTTCCAAACTTTCTGAAGGAAATGGAAGAGACTTTCATGCTGTGGATACACAATGGCTAAAATGATGATGAGATTAAATTCACAGCTTAGTGCTTTCTTAGCTCCACTGAATGTTTTCACAGAACAGAATCCAAATTTTCAAAATACTTTTATTCTCTAATCAATTCTTATATACTGACAGCATTAGATTCATTCATTCATATCCAAAATGGTAAAAATATTGACAAACCACAAAATATTAAGCTTGTCATTGACATACACATTGAGAATACATTCTTACCTCACAACGTCATCAATATTGTTTCTGTACACTCCTTCAAGTCGTTCTGCCGGAAAACCCATTGCAATGATATTTGGATAAATATCTGAATATTCACGTTAAAGGAAATATTTACAAAATTGCAGAATAATTGTAGTAAATACTTCAAATATTTAATTATATAAATTGAATTTTTAAAAATTGCTCAGCTACACCCTAATCCTAAACCAAGCATTTTTAATCACGAAGCAGTGCTTCCCTAAAACTGGTTTGTCATTTAATTAACTGTCCAACTTAAAAGCAACAGCACCTAAAGGGACTACTACAGTCAGCCCTCAATAAACAACCACAATTGAATCCAGGATTTTAGTCATAAGTTGTTGCAGTCATTAAGTGGGTCACCATGACTTGATTTTACAACTATCTGTAATATATTTTCAACACAATCATGAAACAAACCATATAGTTGTGAAGCAAACCACATGATGACTAAGCAAATTCATTCCCACTAATGGGCAGTTTTTGCCCGAAACCACAGGATACTACAACTGGTCATAAATGCAAGCCAGCTGCCAAGCACCTGAAATGCGATCATATGACCACAGGGATAGGGTGGGTGGGTGACAGTCGTAACTTTGACGACAGATCATACATAACTTTTAGGGACCCATTGTACCTTCAAACAGTTGTTCAGTGATTAAGTAAGTAGTACATTGAACAAAAACTGTCTTCCCACATAACTACTCTTCGAGCAACATGATATAGAATTTTAAAAAATCATTTCCAAAGAATCTAATAAAACCATTGCCTTCAGGATGTATATTAGTGCTTATTTTAAATATATGTACTTAAGGTCAAACAGTATTATTGCATCATGACTGCATTATGAATATACAAGTATAACCTATCTCTAAACTTAGGAACCAGGTAAGAGGTTTACAACCATGTACATCACTAGAGATAACAATAAAATAACTATGCCCAACTAACCATTGAATAGCCAGCAACCCCCACAAGTCACGAAGCACAAAGTAGTACTGGAAGACTAATAACAAAACAGCCTGTCAGAATCTAACTTGTTGTAAGTAGAGGAATGTCTGTATTACAATATACTATATTTGACAGATACACCTGCCATAACAAGAAGATGCCATAATTATTGTAAAGATAGGATAACAGGCAGGAGGTGGAAATATGAAACAGCAAGTATTCTCCCTATCATCATTTTCTTCATTTAGCAAAAAACCACTGACTCCCAGTAAAATAAAAGAAACACAGCATGGACAGAAGAATGAATCTTTTCTCTTAATAGGATTTTTTCTCACTAAACATTTTTACCTTGCTAAATTTGTATAATTTAAATATGAGCAGAAGGGGCGTTGTCTTACCTGAATGCCTTTTCTCAGCACGGAGATGGAGAATCCACCAATGGGTTAGCTCTGTCTTCCTGCCCATTAGACCAAGTCAGCCAAACTTGCCACACCTGTCCTGGGCTAAGTCATACCCAGTCTTGACGAGGCGAAAGCGGCTGACGACAGTCCGAGGTGTTGGCTCTCAGACCCCTGGCCTAACTGACCCTAAGGGTGGGAGTGGATTCTCCATCTCCGTGCTGAGAAAAGGCGTTCAGGTAAGACAACGCCCCTTCTCCAGCACCGGAGATGGAGAATCCACCAATGGGACATACCAAAGCCTCACTGTCCCAATGGGGGGGGAAACAGGAGGCCGGAGCCACGTCCCCAGTAGCCACCTGTTGAAGGACCCTCCTTCCAAAGGAAGCGTCCACAGATGCAAATCGGTCTATCTTATAATGCCGTACAAATGGGGAAGGCGAAGACCATGTCACCGCCCTGCAAACCTCGATAGAGGCCTGTATTACCCATGCCGCGGAGGTCGCAGCACTGCGAGTAGAATGTGCCATGACATGATGTGGCACTGGCAGGGAAAGTGACCGGTACGCCTCTGCAATGCAAGCCTTGATCCACCTGCCTATGGTTGAGGCGGACACCCTCTGTCCGCTAGAGGCATGGTGAAAGGAAACGAAGAGGGCTTCAGACTTGCGGAAGGGCACCGTTCGCTTGATATACTAGCGTAATGCCCTGCGAACGTCCAGTGTGTGCCATTGCCGTTCCAAGGCATGGGACGGATTAGGGCAAAAATCCGCCAAAATGATTTCTTGGGCCCTATGAAAAAGGGTGTTGACCTTAGGAATGAAGGTAGGGTCCAATCGGAGAACCACCCGGTTTTGGTGAAAGGTGCAGAGGTCCTCCCTGAGCGACAGTGCCGCGAGCTCAGAGATGTGCCTGGCTGACATGATAGCGACCAGGAAGGTGACCTTGAGAGACAAAGACCTCAGAGTACAAGTTCTGATAGGCTCAAACGGCGATTTGGTGAGGGCCCGTAGGACCCGTGGCAATTCCCAGGAAGGATACCTATGTACCACGGGTGGTTTTGTGTTGGTGGCGCCCTTGAGAAAGGAGAGTATCCTGGGATGCTGGGCCAAAGGGGCTGAATTGGTGCAGGTAAGTAAGGTGGACAGAGCCGCAACCTGCCTGCGGATGGTATTAGGCGCTAAACCCGTTGAGGCCGAGCAAGTATTCCAGGATGCTCAGGATTGTCAAGTCCGAAACATCTAGTAGCCGCCTCTCGCACCAATTGCAAAAATTCCTCCATGTGGAGTCATAGATGCGATTTGTCGCCGGCTGACGGGAGGCCTGAATCATGGAAATCACTCTTGTCGAGTATGATTCCCCGCTCAAGATCTGGCGCTCAAGTGCCAGGCGGCTAACTGCAGCCACTGGGGTTCTGGGTGTTGTAGAACTCCCTGGCTGAGAGACACGTGACCCGGGGGAATCCTCCATGGGGAAGATCTGGAGAGATTCACTAGGTCGGCGAACCACGGCCTTCGTGGCCAATACGGGGCCACGAGTATAACCTCCGCCTATTCCTGCAACATCTTGCGACTGGTCACCAGACCGGTCAGCCCGTCTGCTGAGGTGGGTCAACACCTTCCGCTTGTCCTTATTTTCGGTCAAATAAGGAGCCAGGGCCTCTCCAAACAGCTGACCACCCTGATAAGGGGCCGTAGCTAGACGCCACTTGGACTTTGGGTCAGCTTGCCAATGTCTGAGCCATAGCATCCTACGTGCTGAGACGTTGGATGCTATGGTCCTAGATGAGAACCTGGCCGCATGTAGCATGGCATCTGAGACGTACTCTGATGCTGCAACAAGCTTGCTCAGGTCTTGTTGGGTACGTACCTCCTCCAGCGGAAGCCTGGCTTGTAGTTGACGAAGCCAGAGTAGGGAGGTCCTGGCAAAGAAGGATGCACAAGTGGCAGCTCTTACTGCCCACACCGCCGCCTGGTGAGTCCTGCAAAATGCCAATTCCCATCTCCTGTCCTTGGCCTTTAGCACCTCTGCCATATCTATGTCACCTCTGCCGACACTATAGACGAGGACAAGAGGGGACCAAAGGGTTCATCCACCATTGGCACCTCGAGATCCTCTGCCAGGTCTGGCGCTGTGCTGAACAGTTTCCTGTCCGTTCCCCCCAGAGGGGGAAAGGTGCCAGGTGATACCCATTGCTTCCGGATCGCGTTCCAAAAGAGTGCCGGGTAAGGGACATGGTGCTAAGTCACGACAGGTTCGAAGAACACCGGGTTCGAATCTGAGCTGGGCGGTGGGTCTGGCTGCGGGATCTGATCAGGACCTATGTTGGCCGTGGAACTGGTTCTGCAGAGCAGTGGCAGGAAAAGGGCCGGGTTGAATAGCCCTCCAAATGGGGAAGGGTCTGGGGGAGGGTCTTCCTCCTCCCACCAAGACATGTCAGGTTGGTTGTCCTCCGTAGGAGATGAGGCCCTGCTATGATAGGACCGGGACGGAGAGGAGGGACCCTGGTACTCGGGTGCACCCGGCTGAAAGGTGGGGGTATGGAAGCCACGGATTCAGGTCTGGGCCCGTGATAGGACCTGGCAGCAAGTGCCTTGTCAACCGCCTAAGCGATCAGGGTTTGGAGACGATCCTCAGAGAGGGAGCCCTCGGGCTCAGCCCCCGAGCCCTGCCACTGTGGGGGTAAAGGTGGCCTCTGGAATCGAATGTGGGACCCACAGTGACAATGATGATTGGTGGATCGCTTGAACTTGATCCACCCCAGAAGAAGGGAGATTCCCCTCCGGGAACCAGACCCCTTGGGTAGAAGAGGAGGGCCCCAAAGGGAGATCGAAGAGCACGTCCTCTGTTTGCTCCGCCTTTGCCCTGGCCTGCTTCTGCGCTTTGGAGAAATCTTTCTCCAAAGCCTGGTGCCTTCTGCTAGCCTGTTTCTCCGCCAACTTGGAAGGCTTCCTTCCAGAAATGGTCTTGGCCTTGGCTTTGATCCTGCCTGAGACAACGTGGAGTCCTCCATCCTGAGGTGAGCTATCTCAGAGGTGCTGAGAGGGAGCTCTGGCAGGGGATCAGTTGGCGAGATAGGCTGAGCAGATGGAGCAGGGAATTGTGTCGTCCTGCTCTCCTGACCACCCGGCCGGTAGAAGCAGACTGCTTGTCCCCCTTTTGGGTCCAGTCTTATCTACGGCCGCGGCAAACCTGCTTGTTCGTAGATCTCCTGATAACGCTAAAAGGTGGCCAGGACAATGAGTTGCACCAGAGAGTGTTGGGAGCAGAAGCTTCTAAATAATTGAGTAATGAATTATGTTTTGTGAATTATGAATTTTATGAAATATAATTTTAGGAATTATAAGTTTAGGAATTATAATTTTATTATGAATTGTATGAATTATAATTTTGTGAATTATTGTCCCAATGGGCCGGGCCTGACAGCGTGGTCCCAAAAGATAGCAGGCTGGGGCGACCGGTTGTGAAGAGGAAGGGGGGGCTGTCCGAGATGGGAACCGCTGGCAATGGCCTCCGCAGCCACGCCGCCCTCCCTTCCCTCAGAAGGAAAATAGACCGATCCTGGGGATCTTCGTTCCTGGGGAGGCTCAACCCTCCACCAGGAATTGCTCGGCTGCTGTGTTTGTCCCGGCAGCCAAAATGGTGACCGGAACAATTCGGCGCGAAAGATGACGGTTGCTCGCAATTGGCGCGCAAGGAAGGCTTCCTCTCTAATCGG